GGGATTCTGTTCTACTGCATCTTGTTCTGTTTACGTTGGTGTTCGCTCTCTGCTCGCCTGTTCAGCATGTTCACGTAGCAAGCTCGGAACCTCATTGCCATGCCTGCCTTGTGCGAGTGTGTGAGTCGAAACCCTAAACCGTGTGCCAGCAGTGCTTGGAAGGTGCATGAAATTCTCACGTCATTGCTCCAAGCTCTAGTTGTGCTCCCAGATATGCGTTGCCTCATTGCACTTGTATTAAGATCCAAAATCATAAAGCATAACATAATATAACATGGCACAATTTCTTGTAGTACAACATAATAGTCTCAGGGGGTATAGTATTACCAACATGAGACCCCTCGCCCAGAGCCGACACCCCAGAGCCGGAGCGTAAGGAGCGACTACAGGGCCCGGACGTAGTTCGGCGACTACCCGAGGATTGGTCTCCGAGCTGGCGGGTCTGGGGCACAAGTGCAAGGGGGACCTTTATCTTTTACCATTTTTTCTGGCGATGATTCACTGTTCTTGCCATGAACTCTTTTCATGATTTCTGTTGCTACTATGCTTTTCGCATTGCTGCTTTTAAGACTATTATTGTGATCATGTTTTAATTAGTATTAATGCTATTGCTCTTGTTATCATTATTATCATTATTGTTGTTCTTGTTCTGATTATTATCGTTATTGTTATGATGCCGATGAGAGGCGTCATTGCAGCCTCTCGGAATCCACGGAAACAGGGGTCCTTGTAATGCAGGTGTCTTTAGGTCCTTCAGGTTCAGGATGTAAACGGCACCGGAACCTACAAGCAATATACTATATTAATCTTATAGCACGTTACACTGTAATGTAATAATGCAAACATCGATGAGATGTCCGGGCCTTGGACGACGCTCTCCATGCAGGCGGGCGGCTTCCGCCTGGGATTGAGGAATTTATGGAACTGGCTTGCTCGACGAGGCATCGCTGGCACTCAAAGCGATCTGAAAAAGTTCGTAGAACTAGCCGCAGTTACAGCTGTGCCCGATGCTTGTTGGCAAGCACACTGACTTGCTCTTTCGAAGAAAGATCAGTTCATGAAGTGAACTCCAGCATGGTGTTGTGTTCGAAGTTAGGCTCCCAGTTCTCGGGGTTCTTGAAGGAAGCTGCTGCTTTCATTGGGCTTCAAAGCTGACCTCGCAGGTTTAGGGAGAGCTAACTTCTAGCATCCACCCGTATCTGCTCTGTTTTCACACTAGTTTCGATGCTGTTGATCAAGACAGGACTCTTCTCTGCCAGCCCCGGCCGGGAGATTGGTTGGAGTTCGCTGTCTTTCAGCAGTTCATATTTGTTATTGACAGCTTCTTAATACGACTTGCCAACGGGGCGCGCTTCAGGAAAGCAGGGCCGCCAAATAAGGAACCTGAAGGGGACCTCTTGTCTTGATCAACAGCCATGTCAGGGCCGGGAGCATATCTTGATCGTGTCTTGTATCCCGATCTGCTCGGAGAGCAATTGGTTCTGGCAAAGCCCATCTGTGAGACCTCGCTGGAACGCCACCCTGTGTGGCCTGCGCGGATTGGACCCGCTTGCAAGGCACAGCATCTGCATGCAGAGTGGTCGGTGCCGATGGTGATGCTGGTGGTGGTGGTGGTGGTGGCAGGTGTTGGTCGGTGCTGGTAGCTGCAGCAACGGCCATCGCAGCAGCAGCTCGGCAGAGAACATCAGGAGCATTGTAACGGTAGCAGTAGCAGCAGGAGTAGCAACAGCAGCAGTAGTAAGCGGCGGTCGCAGTGACAAGCATTCGTTGAAGCAGTAGCTGTGGCAGCAGCAGCAGCAGCAGTAGCAGTAGCAGTGGCAGTAGCCGTTGAGTAGTGGTAGTGGTGGTAGTAGTAGTAGCAGTTGTAGTAAGTAGTCGTAGCAGCAACAGCAATAGCAACATCCTCAGCAGCAATTGGCCAACTTGGCCATACTCAGAGTGCAAAGATGAAGCAGAGCTGTCAGCTTCTGCCTTTCCCATGCCGCACTGACATGACGCTGGATGCATCACGCCTGGCCCAAGCGCCGCAAGTGTCAAAAACCTCGCAGTGACTTCCAGACTTGAGGTCTTGAACAGCATAATGCAGACCCTGCGAGCAACCGAAAGACACCGGTTTTCTCGCAACCCTTGAAATGCTGGGGCGGACAATGCTGCGGTACTGAGTGACCGTGGCGACCTGGCTTTGAAGATCGAGGCGTGCCATTGAAGGATTCATACACAAGCTTCAAGGGTAGGTGGTGTAAGTGTCTGTGTTCGCGGTTTGAACTCATCGTGGATTGACGTCGTCTGCCTTTGTTGCCTTGTCGTTTAATTTGCTACAGCGGTTGGGAAGAGGAGTCGATGGCTTTTGTGGTGAGGCTCTCATGGAGCATCATGCGACCTCATGGGACAGAGCATTCCCACCTCAACTAATCGCAGGCTGAGACCGATCCCGGCCCACCATGCACAGTACGCCAGCTGAATGGAGGAGGCCTCTTTGGATCGGGTGATATGTGCCGAACGTAACCCGGGAAGAACTTCATGTAACCCCCCCCCGAAATCTGCGAGAGCCTTCAGACTCTGGTTTTTTGGGTTGAGATTCTATCACCATCAGTCCGCCCAGAGGGCAACCAATTTGTGCAGTCCTGACCTGTCCTCTCAATTCATGCATGAGTGTGTCGGCTCGGAAGTCTGGCAAGAAGCGCCAACGTCGCAGTCCGGGCCGACTCCTGCAGCCCCCAGAAGCTGCGAATCTCTTGTTTAGGCTTGGGTACTGCATACTACATCATGTGGCCGCAGATGAAACAGAAGCCCAAGCAAAGTTTCAAAGGCACTGCGGCAGCTCCTGTCTTTTTCTTTTTGTGGTTGTCGCATCTTTCACACAAAGGCGGCCGCCCCGGCCTGGCGGCGTGGTCTCGGAGTTCTGCAGCGCCTGGCGCGTGAGAGGCGGCGAAGCGCAGCATGCAGGGCCTGGCAGGGACGTGTGGGTGTGTCGCAGCCGAGCTTGTTCGTTGACAGCCCTATGCTGTGACCCCGCCTTCGCCCGCCGTTATCTTCAAGAGTGAGCATCGGCACTCGCAAGTAAACTCGGAGGGTCTCGCCGGACCTTGTGGGCTTCAATGCCGCCCTCTCCACCTGCATCTTGGACCTTGTCTTCCGTACAGGTTGAAGCATCGGTGTGTGTGTGTGTGTGTGAGGAGGTTCGCAACCTCAATCCCGGACCTGTACCGGCTCTTGAGAAAGTAAAGCATCATTCGAGGCGAGCGTCGCAGTCGCTGGCCGCTTGCAGTGTGCCTTGCTGGAGAGCAAGCTTCGACGGATGCAGTGTGGCTCGCCCAGCAAGGCAAATGCTTTTGTCTGGGATCCTTAAGTGTGGGCCTTTGCAGCTACAAGGACCTGCAATGTGCTGCTGAGCGCAGCCGTCCGTATCTCCTGGCAGCGAGCATTGGCAACAGTTACGCGAATCGAGGCCTTTCGGATGCCGAGAGTTTCGCGCGAGAATTGCGAGTAGCTCGATGCAGGTGGAAGGCATCCAGCCAGACTCTGTGACATACAACACGGCCGCCCACGCCCTCTGCAAGGAAGACCAGGACCAGCAGCTTGGATGGTCAGGCGAAAACGCTAGCAACTGGCATTTCTAGGCCTCCCATGCCGCTTCAGAGGTTCCAAGCTTAAACGAAACTCAAGTTTGGAGCCCCCGCGAGAACAGAATCGGGAAAGGGTTGAATTCGTGAGGTGGCCGATGACACTGAAGCTGCTACACGATTCGGCTGAAGCAGGCAAGATCTGCCAAAACTCTTGGCTTTACAGCCTGGACATGTAGATTCGAGGGCTTAACAGATGCGGGGCGACTGGGCCTGGGATGCTTGATACATAACCGTTTTTGGCAGTTTCGAATTCTGGTGAAGTGCTTGGTGGGCTTGGGCTCTCATGGGACCTCGTCCTCTCCGATAGTTGTCATCCGGGATGGGCCTGAGCTGCTGGTAGTGGCCTGAGTCAAGATATTCGCATTGAGCTTTTGTGGGCTATGAATATGTGGGTCGGTTTGGGGTCTGGTTTGCTTGCCTCTCGAGTCTCCTCTACCTCGTAGCTTTCATGCAGGAACTATCGGAGCCGAAGCTCTAGCTTGATGTTGACGCATGCTTCGGGTGTTTTCTTGCCTGGGCCCCAGGCATCCGGCCTGGCAAGGTGTCATTCGCCGCGCTGGCGGCCGTGGCACGGCGGAGGCGTCATTGGTGCCAGGTGGGGGGAGACGGAGCTCCGTGCTCCCGTAGTGGCTCTTGGCTGTTCCGTGGGGTTTCATGCCACCGAGAGCAGTGTTCGAAGCCACCCGATCCGCACAGTGTTGAGATCTGGATAATCGGCCTGAAGCGGAAGGATCATTGCGCATGTCCAGCAACAGAGGCTTTGTATCTGCTCCAGCACATGAAAGTGGAGCAGGCGGGAAGAGACGGGGCCGGGCTTGAGGTCGTTCGCCTTCCACGCCCTCGTTCACCAAAGCCTCACGCTGACTCGGATCCACCAGCCGTCGTGTTGAAGTTGGGTTGCAGTCAGGAGTTTGTTTGGCTACGGCGCAGCTTAATTCGACGCTTAGACTGAGAGGTTCCGCTGAGCTGTGCCGGCAAGCCATACACACGTTTTCATCCCAGAGCCCCCAGTTCTGCGACTGCCCCGAGACTCTGGGCCAGGTCGAGGCAGATGCGGTGAGCTGCGCACTCGCTCTGCGCTGCTTGGAGGACTCAGACTTCTATGCCTTTCTTGCAGTTCGAGCAGCGCTTTGGGGGTGAAAGGGATCCATGCTGTGGTTGTGATCCTCACGCCAAAGGACTGCAGCGAGTGGTCCTGGGCCATGCTGCTGTTGCGGCTGGGCTGTTCAAGCTGTCCAATCAAGGCTTCTTTTCGCCTCTGGACGCTTTCCTTCGCGTCGCAGACGATGTTTATCTGCAATCCTCTGGTCTTCCGATGCCAAGGCAACGACCCGGGTTGGACTCCACCTGCCTCAATGTGGCCCTGTCGGCTGTGCTTGCCGGAGCTGAGGCGGTTTGGTTGGGGAGCAATTTGCACTGTGCACGAACTTCCAACAAAGGGAGCGCTCACGGAGACCTTCTTTTGTTTCTAGCGCACGTTCAGCTTCCTGAGTGTTGGCGTTCCTTTGCGGGCGTTTTGGGGTTGGTGTTGACACCATCACCTGCACCCTTGCCTAAGGCAGTTCTTGGCAAGCATGTCCGGCTTTGCTATCCTGAAGGCTTGCTCTGCCCCTTGTAAAGCCCGGGCTGCCCCTCAAACTCATCAGCTTCATCAACATGGGCTTGTTCGTGTCACATGAAGTTCTGTGACGTTCTCACGGTCAGGCAGCCATCAGGATAGTAATCATGGTCTGGGAACTGCCAGGCGCCGTGGCACCGGGGGCTGTGCCTTGTGGCGCATGCGCTCCAGCACGGTCCTGCGCCGGACTCCGTAAGCTGCGCCCGAGCTGTCAGATTATGAGATATAGACAGAGTCGGAGCTGTTTGAACAAATCTCGGCGGTCCCAGGTCTCACATAGGCCTGAGATGCTACATGTAGCGTGACTATATACGATAATATAGTATAGAAGTAGCACATTCGGTCGAGCTTGGGTCCAAAGCTTCTGCACTTGCCGCCAACATCCGGCACGGCCAGAAGCACCCCGTGCGGTCAGTTGAACAGTGCCGGAACGCAGAGGCAGTGTTGTGGTTTCAGCCCGAGCCTTGCGCACAACATGGTAACGAAGACGAGAGCACAAGTATCGTTGCAACAAAGACGTAGACCACAGCTCGAAATGAGAGGTAGCACCGTCGCCAGTGCCTGTGCACGAGCAGCCGTTCCCGGCGTCGCACATCGCTTGCTGCACACGTGCCTTTGCTGCGTGTTTCGGGAAGAAAGCCCGTCGCTTCAACCGCCTCAGAGTTTTGGCACCAACAGTTCATAGTAAATCAGCGCGTCTCTATTCCCGGGTGTGGGTTCTCGTTGCGGGGGTGCAGTGCTCTGCTTGCGCGCCCCGGACATGAGGCGGGCGCATGCTTAGGTACTCGTGGCTTTCGGTGAAAGCTCACAAAAAGAAGTTCAAAGATGCTTGCATATGTAAGCTTCAAGATGGAATGGCATGTCCCAAGGGTCCATGCCCTGCTGGGAGTTCGGTGATCCAGGTTGCAGTTCTCTGGCGTCCGCCTCGGGACATCGGCCTACAACGCCTTCATGGCAAGTTCTCGTGGGCGCTGGTCCCTGGCCATGGCGACGTTCAAGGAGATGGGCGAGAAGGTGGAGAATGTCAGAAAAGAAAAAGGGCTTCCGTTTCATTTCGGCTCTTGCAGTTGTCTGGCAGTTGTAGTATCTTGGAGGTAACATCAGTTAGGGGAAGAGGGCGAGTTTGAATGGGCCAAGTCGGACCAAGCGTTCTCATCCAGGTTTCGGGGATTCGGACATCATCGTTTTAGTCCAGGCGTTGACCCGGGACACCATCACTGTCGGGGCTGCGGTGGCAGCGCTCTCTGCCGACAGCACAGCTTGGGAGAAGGCGATGTACTTCCAGAGGCAGATTGGCTTGATACCAAGTTGAAGCTGCAGAGAAAAGATCAATTCTGTGCGTGCTGCATGCTCAAAATGCTTGGGTGGGATGAGGCATGCTTTTCATGATTGCCTCCCTCGTCGTATCAGTTGAGTTTCTGCAGGACATGGCATGCGTGCGGAAAGAAACGGGAGGAAGATGCAACCCGGTCAGCGACACTCCGACACACAGGTTTGTTCTTATCGCCTTTGTATCGGTGCTAACCTTTGAAGCGACTTCATGCTCCGACGGTGAAGGCCGTTGCTAGTATCAGCCAAAAAGCGTGACACACCGGGCGCATAGATGGGCAACAAGCACTAGACCTCACAGAAAGTAAAAGCCACGTGCGCTGCTTTGTGCCTGCACTGGAGGCATCGATTGAACGCGCCCGCGACAACAGCCTGCGCCACGGCCTGCTCCAATGCCCGTGAGCCGCTTGGGCTGCTCAATCCAGGAGTGTCAGGTGGACTCGAGACATGTCGAGGGAGTCCGGGGCTTTTGGAAGCTTTGGAGAGTCTGAGAGAGCCAAGAAACACCCAACCATAGCTTGCTGTCAGCAGACATTTCGGGGTCGGGACTCAGTTGCGTAGGAAGCTGAAGAACTTGACGAGCAGCTAGCCTCAAGAGCTCTGCAAGAGCTCGGGCCGCGGGGTCGCTGTGCCAGGTGGGGTCAGGCCTTGGCGGTGCTTTCGAAGCTCGGAGAGAGCGGACTTCAGGAGGTCGCCAGCAAAGAGTCGTAAAAGCGTGGTCGGTTTGGCAAGTTTGAGAGTTCTGTGGGATACTGATGTCTCTTTGATCGCTCATGTATTGAAAGGCCTGCCCTGAATGCTCAAAGCCTCAAAGGCTCCGCACGGCCGCTTGGCCTGGACTTGGGTTTGTAACTAGGTCGTTCCCCTCCCGATACTCCGGCAGGCCAAATCCCAGCTGCCGCAGCAGACGCCAGGACCCGAAGACCCGGACCGCGGCACTGGCTGCTGGCGGGTGCCAGGGTTGGCGTGCGTCGCTGGATATGCTGGGGCAGGCGGTGGACGTTTGGGGCCTGGCCGTTTTCCCTACGCAAGAAAGCTTCTGCGGCCTTGTTGGGTTTTCTTAATTATATTGGTTGGGAGGACCCAATTATGAAGGAAGCAGGGCTCCCGAAAGTATTAAACTTTGTTCAGGCCTTCCTGGGCTGGCGAGAGTTGTTTTGGGACTTCCTATACCTTTACTATGTCTAGCAATTACCAACAAACGTACTTTGAGAGCGCAGCTCACGCAATTTGTGCCCACACTAAGAATCAGCCTGCTGCGATACAGTAGTCGGGAGGTGGAGGTAGAGTCGTTCTTTCTAGACCTGCACCCTACAGACAGTTGGCATCTGAAGCCCTAGCCCTAACCTACCTTGTTTGCATTTCCCCGTTTGTTTTGCGATCAATTGACTTCCGGCCTGGTTTAGGCGAGCATGGGCTTTGCATAGACATAGACCCCAGCTCGTAAACCGAGGACAGATGAAGACTGATCTGCCCCCCCAACTTCGAATGTGAGATGTATCCTGTTGGGTTTGGGTTTTTGATTTTGCGGAGGGAGTACAGACATGGCAGCTGTCTCTGGCATTTCCTGCAGCACTTCAGGATGCAACGGTCTGTCTTTGCCATGTTGTTCACAGTCACTGCGGAGTGTCACGAAGTTCTACTACCGTCCTTGCAATGGATGCATCTTACTGTCTTGCAGGAGTTTAACCGTATACTCACAGTGAGTTTCGTCAGTCAGCTTTGGCATCTTAAGGTCATGAACTGTAACCAGTAATGCTACGGGCTTGGCGCGATGCCGTTGTTTTCGGGCACTGTTGCCCGGCCGACTTCCCAAGCCCGGATGCAAAAAGGGAAGGGCTTCTGGGTGTGAGAGTTACTCCTTGGGTCGAGCGAGGCAATAGCCAAACGAATATGCACACACACACATAAGTGCGTACCAGTTTCATGTAACTTCGCAACATTCTATACATACATACATACATACATACATACATACATAAATACATACATACATACATACATACATGCATACATACGTATACATACATACATACATACATACATACATACATACATACATACAGTCATAC